TTCTTAACAATACTGAACTTGTATTTGTGCTTACTTTTATCACTACTGCTTAACTGAAACTGCAGTTACTAAATATTTTAGATGTTCTATTTTGACATCCGTAAAACTAGCAATTCTATCTTGAAAATACTTAGGAATCAGAAAGTTCCCCTAATTTAGATTCAGGGTACTGAGGAAATGGTAGCCAAAATTTTAAAGTGAAGCTCTAGATCTGAGGACATTTTGAAATGATCCATCCCATCTTCATTCGCCCTCACAGCTCTTCATGTGGAATGAAAAGAAGGTTTTTACTTTATTCAGTCGTTTTATCATGTGTAATTAAGCTTCTTCAGCACTGTTTGAGCTGTATATATTTTGGGGACCGTCATCAGGTGTTCTACCATTTAAATGGATTTTATCCCCCAACTTATCGTCTTTTCTTTGTCAGTTTGTTCCTCTGGAACCGTGCTGACATCTAGAGATAAGTCCTATCAGGCTTGGGCTATTGACTGAATTTTGATTGTGAAGAAGCCATCACTTAGAGTAGAGAGAAACAGAGTGAGGTGTTGTTGCTGAGGATAAATTTTTTGTTACAGTTCTAAAACCCAAAGGTAAATAAGATGACGTTTGCAGCTTTCTTATTTTTTATTAGGCATGAGTTGGACTTTGCAGGCTGTGTTTTCTGCTCTGTCTTCTTTTCCCTTTAGGAGTCACAGCTCCTGTGGCTTTGCTCTCATTTACTTTTTTGAGCAGAGATGAATGCGAAAGGGAATTCTGACTCTCGAAGGATATTAGACTGGTCGGTTAAACATAGTGGGCCTTTAATTCATCTCCGTTTATTTTCCAGTTGTCAGTTTTTCTTTGTTTCTTCCTCATTTATATATGCTTAAGTAGGTGAATAGGCAGATTCCACTGGGTCTCTGCCATGCTGCTTGGAGTGCTACTACATGAACTGGAAACCGGAAATGATCACTGTTTAGACAAATTCCTTTCTTCTTCGGACCTAGGAAAAACATCACTTTTTTATGATCTTTCGAGCCTGCACAGGCTGAAAGAACACAAGCTTCCAATGTCATTTTAAATTCAGCCTGAAATTATCCAGGATAAGAATAACGATTGAATATACTAATTTATGCTAACTGTACTCTGTGTCTCATTGGCTGTCATAAGTTTATGTATAAAAAAGGTATATTTGATTTCAGTCTCTCAAGCTGGTTCTGATTTTATCATGGTTGTTGAGGTGCTCTTTTATTCTGACCTTTTTTTTTTTACATTATCTACAATATTAAAATGTGAGTATCTCCACTTAAAATATCTGGTGATTTTAGGAAAGCAAACTATTCTGATTTCATACAAGTAGAAGGCATATGACCAATCATTCGTAGCACAAATACTCCTCTATTTCTATAATCTTCCCAGGTAAAGGATACAAATCAATTCATAGCATATCACACGTATAGCACTAAAATTTCTCAGATGGCTAAGACTTACATATAGCCATGTATTTTACATATGCAGTTTTTCCTAGCAATCTTTATTACTGGACAGTCTCAATAGAAAGTACATAAGTGCAAATGCCAAGATGTATTTTTGTTAGTGGTGCTGAATAGACTGGTTAAGGTAGAAAAACAAATGTACTTACTTTGATTTATCACTTCTGACATTAGCATGTACCATATTGCTCTCCAGGAAACAAAATGGTTGCACCTGAGGACAGTGATATAAACACCACTTTGATTATTTGAAACAAACCATTAGGCTTTGATGAAAGAACTATTACCATGGTGGATCCTGTACAGGGAGCGAGCGCTTGCAGATAATGGAGATAATGGATGAGCAGCCTACAATTACTTGTTTAGAATTTAAAGAAGTCAAAGCTTAGGTTTTAGGTGGCGATACATAAAGTGAATGGAATTACATATATATTTAGAAGTTAAATTTTCACTGCTAGTACACAGTTGTAGTGACATTCTTTTATATCAAATTAATTCAAATTAGAAAAATAGGTCATGTGGAATTCATTGTTTCAAAATTAAAACTAAAATCATTCTGCTAGATATTTGAAAAGTTTTCCTAGTCTTTTTTACTTATTTGCATCTAGAGACCAAGAAGTGTTTGCTTTTACTTATATAGTTAGATACATAATAGCAAACCTAATTATGAATTAAATTTCTGTTTATTTTATATGATTTATAGATGGAGATTTTACTTGATTATTACTTGCATATAATGTATACCCCAACAGTAAAATTTCCTTGTTATAAAATTTTATTTGAAACGTGTAAGTCAAGGTAAAATATTTAAGTTTTGAGGAGGGTAATCTCTTAGCTTTCTTACCTTAGTATGTCAGTGTGGACTGAAGTGTCAAATTAGACAACTTTATTCAGCATTGAAAGCAAAACATTTGATCTTCAGAGAATGAGATTTAAGTAAACGTACGTGGGAGAAAGCCTGGAGGGTGAGAGTGGGAAGAGGAATGGGGCAAGCGTGGTAGCAGTGCTTCCGTGAGTGGCAGATAAGGGCACCAGAAATGAGCTGCAATAACTGAGAGACTGAAGAAGGCAGAACAGAGGCAAGGAAGAGCAGAGAAGCTATGGTAACAGGGAGCCACTGACCAGAAAGGGACGGTCAAACCATAGAGGCACTGCAGAATGTAGGTAAAGCCAGTATCTCCTTGATTTTTTGCCCCCATAAGCTTGCTCTAAACCCTCATCGCCTGCTTCTCTGAAAAATGAAGAGCATTTTCAGCAGGCTGTGTTCTCAAAATGATTTGCTTTGTAAATGACCCATTACACTTGTGCTGTTTTATAAGTGAATCTATGCTGAATACTACAAACTGTGGTTTCTAGTTTTAAAACTATATATGCTTAAAATGATGCTAACAAACTTTTTGTTGTCAGTCTACACTAAATTTGTATATAGATGTTATGGGCATAAATGGCTTAATTTACCACCAGGGAAAAATCAGTTTTACAAAGACCAAAACATTTGATCAAGGTCAAAAGAGAGACAGCTGCATAGAAAGAAGCAGAACTGGATCTTATCTCCTTGCCCAGTACCTGTCCGTTACCCCGTGATGCACTCATGCTTTTGAAAGACTGTGGTTTCCCAATCCTCAGGGTACAAAACTTCCTCAGAAAAGTCTGGCATGGACAATGATGCAAAATAAAGGAATAAATGAACTAATAAGTAAATAGGGCCCCAATGCAATTTTATTTTCAGTGTATTTTAATCTCACTTATTGTATAAATTTTGTTCACAAGAGAGAGGAAGGATGGCTCTTGTTGGTGGCATTAAAAGCAAGCAAGTGGTGTTATAAGTACTGACACAACACCTGAACTGACCTGTCCATGTTGCAGACCTTTTATGCAGTTGATTAAAACTATCAAAAGTACTATGAATTTACAGAGAGCTTAGGGTGGATATTGAGTGATTTTATGAAATTAGTGGCACTGGTCTTTCTTTCTGTGCACTGCACAGTGCAGTTGTTCTAAAATGCAGGTGCCATTTTACACACACACATACACACACACACACACACACCAGACACTTGCCTTGATGAAGGATTTACTGTTTAAATGATGCCTTAAAATCAACAATGTTGAAACCCTGATCATTTATATATTTATAACTTCTCCTCTGTCCTCTTTTCACTGCTTCAACTGGTATGCACAGCCTAAAGTTTTATTATCAGTGACCAAAATTAAATTACAAATGCTTAAAGGGCACTCTCCCATTGAAGGTGAATCCAGTGTTTTTATAAACTTAATAAGGAGCGTTCCATCAATGACCTCATTCTTCTGTGTTACGTTGACAGTCTTTTGATGTAGTCCTCACTCCCTGGCTTTGAGCTTCATTCTTTGGGTGTTCTTTAGCTTCTGCTATTATGGAATCATTTCCTGGTTGAATGAATGTTTTCTCAAGTCTTAAACTTAGTGCACAACCCAAGGATGCCTTACCAATTAAGTTGCCTGTTGATTTTGTTGTAGCCAGCTTGGCATCGAAGGCTGTATTCTCCAAATTAATGAAGCCCATGTTGTAATGATGAGTTTTCAGTTCCTGCAGCCAATATGTTATATAACAGGAGGTGATCTAGTTTAGGGAGTTGTAATCAGTGGGGTTCAGATCCAGCTTTATCTATTACCCTGAAGACAGTGATTACAATGTAACCTTCTTAGATATGGTTAAGTTGGAATTGGTGAGCTCTTTTGGGAGGCATCAAAGTGTACGTTTAGTTTGGAGTTTGAAACCTGAGACTACAAAGACTGACTTTTCTTCATACCTTGTATTCATTTATTTTGAATCAAAAATCAGCTGATATTTATACTATAAAAAGTGAACCTTGCATATTAAGACTCATTATCAAGATGATAATAATCATCCTACTCTCTCTGGAATTCCTAATTATTGTCTAGTGGAATTTGAATGTTTTCCTGGAACCCTAAGCAGATTTAATTCTGAAACATCTAGATTTTCCTAGAAGATTCCAAATCCATGGTTACTGATGCTCCTTGTTCCAACTTACAGACAATGAGAGTTCAAACAGTCCAAATAGAGGGGTTAATAAGCATTTTGTAGGTACCATCTTGGTCAGATACAAAAAGCAACCCAGGGGATGGCATGAGCTAGTGTGGGCACGGGAGGGAAGGCAGGGTCTATGGGTTTCAGCATGATGCAATAGCTAAACCCAGCTTGTAGGACTACTGGAGGGGACAGAATCTGGGGACACAGGGACAATATGAGCCTAGATGTGCTAATAAGAAATAGCTTAAAACTGCAAACTGTTTGATGTAGAATTGTGGAAGAAAATTCTTGAAAGTTAAGAAACATTCAGATTCTAAAAGTTGCTGTTATTTGTTTACTTTTTGACTGATTTAATTTGGAATCACTCAAAGGAACCTAAAACTAGTGTTTGTCTTGGAAAACATACAGAATCAAGATTAGGTAAGGAAATGATCAAGTTGACAAATATACTATATGCAACATTTTTATTGCTATAAAATGTTTCCTTTAATATCAAGCAGTCAAATTGACATTTCAACACATTTTCTGAGGTTTTGATTTTTAAGAAGCAGCAGTTGGGGTCTGGATTGATATGCCAACGGCAGTGGATTCAGGGTGTTAATTCTTTCCATGTCTTTAGTTTCACACATGCATGGATACAGCTGCTTGTGCTCTTGCCAGATGTCAGCGAAGGGGCTTCAGGAAGCTTTTCCATATCTCTGCTTTTCCCAGAGGTAAAATACAGCATGAAATAACATCCTTGAAACATAAATGCAGGTTGTCTTTATTTTTTGGACTTTTTAGGTGCTAATCAGAAGCAAAGTGAATAAACATATATTCACCCAAAAACTTGCACATAGTAGTATGCGTTAGCAGTGTTATTCATAGCAGGCCAAACAAGGAAACAATCTAAACACCTATTAACCAATGAATAGACAAATACAATGTGATACATCCAAGCAATGGACAATTACTCAATATGAATAAGAAACGAAGTACTGACATATGCTACCACATAGGTGAACCTTCAAAATATTTTGCTAAATGAAAGAAGCCGGATACAAAAAACCACAACTACATAATTTAATTTATAGAAATTGATCAGAATGGACAAAATTACAGAGTTAAAGTAGATTAATGATAGCTTAGGACTGGGGAGTGGGGCAAAAACTGACTCAGTAGGTACATTTTTTTTTCAGGGGGCACAAAAATATTCTAAGATTATATTGTGTTAATATTTTATAACTTTGTTAAGGTATAAAATAACAACATCATTTAATTGTATACTTTAAATAAGTGAATATATGATGTATGAATTATTTCTCAATGAAGATGTGAAAAAAGAGATATAGTGAGTAGACTGGGTAACAGAGTGAGTTAAATAATGCAAAAGTATAACCTGTGCTGTGATTTATTCTTTATTATATCCTTAAATATAGTATGGGAATTAAATTAGCAAATAAAAGGGCACACTAAATATGAAGTACAAAATTAATAACATATTTAAGGACCTCTTTTTCATTATTTCATTTAAAATGTTTTTAACCTTTAATCCATCAACTTCAGTAGGTATAAAAAATAAATTAATAGCTCTCTTACCTCTCAAACCAATCAGTAATGATTTGCTCATTTCTCCCTCCTGTGAGAGTCTCCTTAATTTAAGGCTTGATTATTTGGGACAGTCTTGAGTTTAACAGCATGTTTTTCTTCCACTATGAAAATAAATTTTAAGCATTAGTAATAAAATTTTTAATTTTATAAAATATATAAGTGTTGATCTCCTCATCCTTAAATTGCTTAGGGCAATGCATTCCAACAGTGTCTCTACTGTATTGACTTTATGAAAGGAAGGGACAAATACATTTTAAGGGCAGATTCCTCCTTTGTGTAAACTACTCCCCGGGAGTTAGTAAGGAGTTATATTAACATTTGTGATGAAGAAGTAATTGAAATTAATACCCTCATGATTGGAAAGGGTTAGCTTCCAAAGCTGCTGAAAAAAAAAATAGAGAATTGTGTTTTTTTAACCAAAATAAAAATTCTAGTTTCATTTAAAAAACCAATCACACAAGAAATTAAATAAATATCAAGTCTTGCATAGCATTATCTTGCTCAACTAGCTCTTTCACTTCCTATTTCTCACTGCTCTCACCTGTGTATTTATCTATCTATCTATCTATCTATCTATCTATCTATCTATCTATCTATATTCTGAACATATTCTCTGAGTCCCTGCCACATACTAGATACATATATTAGTGTTATTATGGCATCTATGCCATAATTATTATGACATCTTTGATATTTATGTAACATTCAACCATTAATCAACCATTTGTTAAGAGTATTAGGAAAAGTTGTCTTTCTTCTCCTTCCCTAATTGCAGTCTGTCCACTTGTTTAGGGAAATGGGTTGCGCTGTTTTATTTCCTTATTTTCTGAGTGATTACTTAACCTTGAGTGTTCCTTTCTGAGTCCCAGTTGACCCACGTGTTTTTAGCAGTCATAGTCATCATCATCATTGTCATCACCACCACCATTATCATCATCTAAAATGGTCGTGGTTATTGGGCAGGTAAAGGTTAGTGATTTAGTATGTACAGTATGAATCTTGGCTTATTGCAGACAGTAAATGACCACTCTTTAGGAAAGATATTTGTGTACATCATACTAAACTTAGTAATAATGAAAGAAATATGTTGTAATTTCAGATTTACCTTTGTGAACTTATATTTTTATTACATTTTGTATTCATATAATTGTAATACTTTTTTTTTTGTTTTTCTCCGGTACTGGGAACTGAACTCACGACCTTGCACTTGCCAGGCAGGTGCTTTGCCGCTGAGCTAAAGCCCCAGACCCTTGCAATACTTTTCTATTACATGGCATAAGGCAACAAGTTAAAAAATTTTGAGCTATTACATGGAAAATAAATCCATGCTATCCAATGAATTAGTGGAATTTACACAATAAATTTAGCAAGTGTTTGATATAATTCTTGATAAATCATGAGCCTTCTGTTTTAAATGGGGAAATGTATTTCAGTAATTATGCATAATTTTTGTAGCTAGCATGAACTTCCAAATGAATAACCTTTTAAGTTCTTGTCAGTTAGCCCTCATTTGTTTAATGATTGAAAATGCTTTCATATGATCATTGAGCAATGATTATAACTATGTTGCCACAGCAAGCATTTTGGTTTTTTCAAGTTTTTAATAATTTTACTTGAAATGCCATCTTGAATAACTAAGAAACAAGTCAGTTTTATCTGCAATTGCTTTCTTTCAACCATTAATGTTACCTCTATCTTCAATAAAATGCATTCAGGTTTTTCCAGGTTTTCTGTATTTTAGATACGTAGTGGTTTAACATCCAGAAGTATTTCATTAGAGGATGATTTTGATTGTAATATCTGAAATAAGAGAAGACTTATTTTTTAGTGCATAAGTAAAAAAATTTAAATAAGTTAATCACTTGTCTTTATGAGGCCTTTCATTTCATAGTCTCGGTAGCTCTCTGAAGTTCCACCGTCAATTTTAGTATCATTATGTGCCGGCATCTAGAAGCAGGAAGTTTAGCTAAGAGATGAAATCCTTTTAGTTTCCAATTCGAACACATTGACCCTTTTCTTTGTTTTAATAAGTAGGATCACTCTGATTGCTGGGTTTTTAAAAAATGGAAACAAAGGTCTGAATAATTGTCCTGTCTCTTTAGCCTGCAAAAGAGTCATTTTGAAAAAAAATTACAGTCAGGAAACAGAACCACTTTTGTGATGGTGCCATGTCATTTTTTTAGGATAGAGTCCCCCAAAGATACATTTTGTATAGATTTTAAAAAACTATAATTTTCTGTATGTAAATGAAATTTTCTTGATTCTTTATCGGTAATGCATTATTTTAAAATTTGAACTCAATTTATTTTCTACTTTGTAGAGCTATTAAATTACTGAGAATAACACCAAGAGATGTTTTGCTTTTTGTTTTGTTTTTCTTTAATTCTCTTCTTCCTTCAGTTCATATCACATGAGGCCTGAGTGGACTGCTAACCACTGATTCCAATGTGGAGACACTGAAAAACTATTAAACATCTTAACTCCCTTAAATTGTGGTGTCTAAAGTGACAGATTAATTTCAAATTCAGTTTTGATTGAGTGTATGCCATTTTTTACATGCTTTACATTACTAAAATAGAGCTGTCTTTAGAAATCCTCATATTAGGCAAATGAAGGCTAATCAAGGCAAGTTTCCTTCAATAAATGCATTTCCACATTCAAGCACCTTTTTGGAAGTGCAGAGCATGTTAGATATAATAGTATAGCAAAGAATTATTAGAGCCCAACCACGGGTGCATGTAAGAATGGTCTTCTTGCACTTTTCTTTAAGACATATCTCATTTTGTTTTTCTTGCTTAAAGGTAATATAGCTGATAATCTGTGTAATATTCTGCAAGATACATTTTTTTTGTTGTAACAGCTCTGTAACAGATTGTTTGATATTTAAAATCTCAGAATGAGGAAGCTGAGAATGACCTCTCAGAATCATCCACTTCACTTCCCCAAAGTATAGGTGAAGGAGTTAAAGCACATGGAGGAAGATTTTGTAGGCCAAAAGCAGAAGACAGCCTTGTTTAATAGCGGGATTATGTATAAAAGTGGATAGAGCAACTTATTTTTTGAACTCAGTGAAAATGAATTAAATGCCACATAAATAGAGCAGTCTGCTAAGCTTATTTTCACAGATCAGAGAAGAGGGTTGACTCTTGCATGGGGCCATCACTTTTGACACACTGATTAGGAGTCTGCAGCAAACATTCTCTCCTATATCCATCTCTGAGCTTTCCCAGAGTTGATCCTGGCTTTATCAGGCTACATCTTCATAGAGACAGATCTGGCCACACTGGAATGCATTGGTCTTTTTAGGCTTCTGTTTTGATCTAGCACTCTGGTTACAAACAGGCAGAGTTCATGGTTTGTGTTTTAAACTTTAAGATATAATCACAGATGTGATGAGGTCTTAAGATGAAAAACATGAACGACCTTCTTCTTTCTTTTGTTTCTTCCATTTTGCTCTGCTTGCTTTTTCACTCGTATGTACCAGGTTTTAGAGAATGATTAATAATTCTATTCTTTCTCCATGGAAATCATACTAGAAAAATGATCCACAAAGCAGTATTTCTAATGACTTTTCTATATTAGAATCAGGGATTATAACTGTAGATTGTTTTGTGATTATTTGTATTGGATTTACATAACAAAAATATATACTAATATTGTAAGTTGGCATGCACTGAGCTCTGCTTTTTATTAATTATTTTTCTTGTCTTTTTGAGACAGGGTTTCATTATGCAGTTCAGGCTGTCCTTGAGCTCACTTTGTAGCAGGCTGATCTGGAACTCACAACAATCTTCCTGCCTCAGCCTCCCAAGTGCTGGGATTACAGGCGTGCACCACCACAACCAGCTGTTCTGCTTTTTTCAACCTATAGTTTAATGCATTAATCTAAAGTGAAGCTATCGGCCAGGCATAGTGGCACATGCCTGTAATCCTAGTACTAGGGAGGCTCAGGCAGGAAGATCACTGTGAGTTCAAACCCAGCCTGGGCTATGCAGTGAGTTCAGAACCCTCCTGAACTACATAGTGAGACCTGTCTCAAAAAAACAAACAAACAGGGGCTGGGAATTTAGCTCAGCGGCACAGTGCCTGCTCAGCAAGCACAAGGTCGTGAGTTCGATTACTGGTACCTGAAAAAAAAAACAACAAAAAACCCCAACAAACAAACAAACAAACAAAAAATTAAAGCCATCAAAAATATTATATGAAACTTAAAAAACTTCACAGCCTTCCATCCAATCCATAGCAGCTGGAATAGAATTGAAACATCTTACCATGATCTAGAAATCCCTGCTCAGGGCTTCAGCTAGACTCTGTGGCATTTTTAGGAATAGAAAAGTCATCTCATGAGCAACTGCACTACCTCCTTTGCGAGAGCATGCTGCTATTGACTTTGGGTGCAGAGAAACATGCCAGTATTTGACTGGATCCTGGGGTAAGGATGTGATGCAGGGGCCGGATCTCCTGATGAACCCTCTGTGGCCCTGCTATCTCTGATAAGGCTGTAGACTCCCTGTTTTTCTAGGTATTTGTCTTTTCTTCCACAGGGTCACTGTCCTCCATAACCCTCTGTGATTCACTTCAGTGTCACTGTGTAGTATCAGTTATTGAACCTGCATTGCTTCTGGTCCATCTTTGCTATTGTCACCTACAGCTGCTCACTTCTGTCCTTTTGGTCACATGGTGTTATGCTATTTTTTGCTTTATCCTTCACTGCTACCTGAAGCTATCTTACTTGTTTTCTTAGTTTTGTCTTCTCCTCATTAGTATTTAAATTCTTTGGACTAGAGACTTGATTTTTCCACTACTGGATACTTTGTGCTGAGACTAGTACCTGGCACTTTGTAAGGAATTCATGTTTCTTAAAAGAATAACTTTACTTTTTGAGAAAGTGTCTCACTATGTAGTTCAAGCTGGCCTTGAACTCACTATGTAGCCCAGGCTGGCCTTGAACTCAAACTCCTGCCTCAGCCTCCCGAGTGCTGGGATTACAGGTGTGCGCCACCATACCTGGCTCAAAGGAATGATGACATAGTCTCTCCTCCCTAATTTGCTCTTCTATCAGTAGTGTAGAAAGGAGTTTGTATCTCTGTACTGTATTTGTGCTGGTGGAAGCAAACATGATTATAGGCTCCTAATCCTTCCTTACATGTAACAGAGAAGTACCTTGTGATACCGTGACCATGAAAACCACTGCCCATCCCAGGCCAGGACTACATAAAATAGAAGGAGAGAGGCCCCTGTGAATTTGTTAAGTTCCATGTTGGATATTTGCCATGTGCTCCTCCAGATCCACACCACATCTTCCACACCCTAGGAGCCAGGCTTTTATGGACTTGTGTATTGGACTGCTTTGCCCTTTGGCTCCTTGATGTGCTCCTTTAATCAAAAGTGCCAGCTGGAGATCGGGAGGGAAGCAGGAAACTGTGTAGTGTGGGCATTTTTTTGTCTAGTAGCCCCAGAAAGCCATTCTCTCTCTACTGGTTACTTAATTCTGATAAGACTTTTGAAATCAGCCCCCACATTACCTATCTCCCCTCAGATACAGCATTCGAGAAGATCATGCTCTTTGCTGAAACTTCAATGAGTAAAACACTCTTCTGGAGAATTTCACAATTACCAAAGCTGTATTTAGAAAATAAGATGGAGATGCCAAAATGAAACTATGCTTTCAGAGCTTAGTATAGTTTAAGAAACTCAAGATGACATCTGAGTCAAAACTAAGCTGCTTTATTGATCAAACACAAAAAGAAATCCGCTTTGAACAAGTACGTATAATTTATTTTAAGTTTTAAAAATTGCTCACTGTGAGATAAAAATAATACATTTGGAAATTGACTGATGACAATGTTAGGACACCTAAGACGGGACAGTGAGATGCCCAGTTTAACCGGTGGCTGTACAAGCACAGACAGAGGATGACTGAACAGGAAGTAGTGACCTAGAAATGATAGTGGCCCGGATGAAGGTTGTAGCCCTAGAGATGATGATTTTGGAGATAACTATGTGCAGCAAGTTTGCACTAGAACCAGATGAAATCCTAACTCTCGGCTGGGGCTTTCTGGCACTGTAGCAGTCCTCCCTGCCTCCCTTCTTCAACTCACCTGCAAGCAAGCTGCGTCCATGAGAACCTTCCCTCTGATCTTGCATCCCCCAAACTTATTCCTTCATATCTTCTCTTATCATTCCATTCCCCACTTATCCCCTCAGTCACAGGCACCAAACTCCCTGTACTCCAGGAACTGTCTCAGGCCACCCCTCACTCATCCTCATGACAACTCGCACTTATTTTATTTAGTGTTTCCTAAGGGCAAGTGCTCTAGTTCCTTGAGAGCAGGAGTTGCTTGGTCCTGAAGTAGTAGCACTGTCCGAGAGAAACATCAAGTGGACAGAACTGCCATTTAGCTTTCCTGATGCTGCACACTGAAATGAACAGGTAGAATTAATTTTAATCATGAACTTGATTTTCTCCATACACATAAATAATATAGTTTCAAAATAGTCGATATAAAAATCCTAAATGAAATGACTTACCTCTGGTTTTCACAGGAAATCTTTGATATTCAGCATGGTGTTGGTACTCATTGCATGGGCCTTTCTGACATTTCAGTCGCGTTGCCTGTCAAGTGCTCTGTCAATACATGAGGCTCACAGCTGCTGTACCCTTCAGTATAGGCCTGGCTTCCTGACTTGTCACTGGAGCCACTAGCGTCTGGAAGAGGGCTCCCTCTTTTCTAAACCAGCAATAAATACTAAGTAGCACTGCACAACTGGCAGAATTGCATTGCATTTAGCCATCTTAGGGTGTTGAGTGTGTAGCAGCGCCCTCCCGAAAGCATTGTACTGACAGCGCTCTACAGCACTTCCAGTACTGCAGCCAAGTACAGGGTTCACGCACGGCTCTGTGACTTGGCTCTTTCCTCTCCCTGAGCCATGCCTGTGACATCTGGAGGGTGCAAAGTCTGCATTAGGTGACCTTTAATGTCATTCAGAGTTTTAATTTTAGATTTTTCTATTCTTGAACCTTTATTTTTCTTCCTATTGTATAATTTTTTCTTTTTCCAAGAAGTACAACCCAGGAAAAAATGGAATCAAGGCCCAGATGTGATAGAATTCTGTAGAATTTTATAACAGATTCTTACTATTTCAGTCACATATACCATAGGAATGTCTTCCCTAAAGAAAAGTCTGATTGTAGTCCTGTTGGGATTAACATGAATTTATTAGTGTAACTAGGTGGATATTTTAGTTGACATAGCTTTGTTTTTATTTATTAACTGATTTTTACATTCAGTCATTTTTCTTTTTTAGACAATCTTCGTTTTTCCACTGAACTTACTTTAGTAACTGATAATTATATTAAACTCTTACACTGGCATAGCCTGTAGTCCAAGTTTAAGCTCATTTAGCATTATACCTGTTATGTGAAATTTTGCTTATTTCTCTGATTGAATTTTATTCACTTGGGAAAGTGTCAAACTATTTCTCTTTTCGAAAGAAAAAAGGCTTGCAAAATCACTCAAAACAGTGTTCTAAAAGGGAGTTAGTAATTTTTAATCACTTTATTCTTTAATACCTTTTTCAGTCATTTTAAATTCCGATATGCCTCGTTGTCTTTCCTTTTATAAATGGCTTCAAATGCTATTACCACCTTGTTTGAGAATGTGTTATGTCACAGACTGTGTCTCTGTGTGAACAAAAGTGCTTCCCCAGTTCACCAAGTTAAGAAACAGTGTTATTTTAAGCAATGGTAACGATGAATAACATTGTACATCGAAGCCTGGCTCTCGCTCAGCTACTTCTCATGTTTTTAGAGCCACATGAATACTTTTAAACCCACACCTAGAAAACAATCTGTGGACGTTTTTACTTGGACAGTCTTGCTCCAAGGAATATTTGGACATTAGCATAAAGGTTGCACATGTTATACAAAGTGTAATTAAAGAAGCTTTGATCCCCAAATGTCAACTAGCTTGCTAAGTGTCATAACAAAGTGTCAAGCATCTGGTATACAGTTAATTTGTAGTCATTAACTCCATATTGTTGATGTGACAGTTTGTTAGCAAAGCAAGCTTGACAGTTGCATTTGGTTCTTGATTGACACCTACAGACCTCCCCACCCGTTTAGTTTACATTCCTGTTGAGGTTTCCTCAGGTTGCATTTTTACTGCTTAATTTCCTCCAACTTATTAGCTGAAGTGCTGGGAAAGTTTTTAAAACATAGGCTATGTTGGTTCAGAATTTCAAGTCCCCCTGCTAAAATGTTCTAAATTTGCAGTAATGACAGAAATAAGGAAACACTTCATGATCTTTCTTTCTTTCTTCCCTTTTTTCTTCTTTTTTTTTTTTGGCGGGGGGAGTCTTTTGAGATAGGGTTTCACTATGCAGTTCAGGCTATCCTTGAACTCACTTTGTGGCCCAGGCCAGTCTTGAACTTTCAGCAATCCTCCTGCCTCAGACTCCTGAGTCCTGGGATTACAGGCATGCACCAACATACCTGGCTTCATGATCTTTCTTCAGAATCTCAAGATTCACTCCGGTTATGTGACATGTGCACTATTTTGAAGTATAACTGTCACAAATAACATATTTGTAATATGACAATTGCTATGGCGATTAATCTAGTCAGCACTAATTTTTTGTACAGTTCCATTAATATTTCTACTTTTCAAAGGCTCGGAAACAGATAACTGGATAGTTCATCATGCACTTAATTGCATTGATTTAGTCCAAAGAGTCCATTACAATCTAATTTCAGTCCTTTAATGTTTTAAAATTTTAGTTGCTTTGAATTACATGCAACTTGTTTGATGCCAGGGTTTTACTGCTGTTATTAATGGGATCCCATTTAAGAATATTTTGTGAGATGCTTCATTCCTTATTCTCTTATATTCTCTCATTATGCTAATCCTACTTTCATATATGAAGAGTATCACTGTGGTACATTTGTACGAACAAAGAATCAAATATATTTTTGTAACATATGGAATATAAATTGATGTGAGCAATTTATGCTTAATTCCTATAGGTTGGATTGTTTGTACAGTTAAACTAACACAAATGAATATCTTGCCAACTTGTAGAAAGTTATAGTAACAACTAGAAAGCTTCATTTACCGGCCTTTAAAAAAAAAAAAAAAAAAAAACTGCCTATTTGAAGAAGACAGACTCTCTAGAACACAGTGAAACTTCTAAAGAAAAGGTTTTTAAATTGATATTTAGTTCATCTGATTCATTTTTTGCTCATGGATAAGGCCACAGTAAATTCATTTGTTGGTGAGATCATAATTCATTTATTTTATCACTTGCATTATTTTTATCGTTTACCCTTCAGTAATTGTTGTAAGAGTATATCACCATGACAGAGATGCTTATTGAGGTGTTAAAATGAAAATCTGAGCTTCTGTTTTCCTCCCAAGATCACATCATATATTGGATACACATCTTCATCAGTTAGGCTTTAATTTGCTTGATCTATAGAATGAAGTCACTGGACTTGATGATCTCATGCTTTTTCTAACTTTAAAAATTATAAATTTGCACATGATTATCATTATGATTGAGAAAAGGCTGTCTACTTAAATATTGACTTGATTTCTCTCATAGATATTGTGCTTTTTTACTGCCATAGATGTTTGTCTGTCTGAATATCCTGGTAAACCACTAGTTAAATGACTTGGATGTGAACTAGTCAAGTGAGATCTTGTAGCTCTGTCCTTAAACTTGTGGGCTGTAGTTACTTTCCTTCCCCAGTCGTACTCTATGAGCTGGAAGAGGAGTGAATTCTCCCATAGAATGAAGAAAGGAAGCCTCCCTGACGGGATGATGGGAAGGTGTCTGTAAATGGAGATGAGAACAGGGTCTGAACATCAGAGGAATCATGAGGATGGAACTTGAGTGTGAGCCATTGAGTCTGATGTCCCTGTGGTGATCATTATCGTCATCACATGATAAGACCTTGAGCATGTGACAACATGTAAGATGTCCTGGTTTTTCATCCAAAATGCAGAATAATATCTACTTTGGATAATTTTGTGACATTTGATATCATTTTGGGTAAAATGATCCTTGTTAAGAGTTCTACAGGCAGCATTTATGACTACTAACAATAAACTTGGATTACTTCCAAATTACATTTGGTGCCTACTTCTCTTTAAAAGAAAAATGATAAATCTTAGTACATAGGACTGACATGCATATGATAGCTAAGTTCAGTTCCTACAATATAGAAAGCACTTCATATTTTTAATATTTTGAGGTTAATTATACTTGCTTGAAAACTCTGAATATGTTTAGGAAACAAGATGTATCAGACAATATTTTAGTAGGACTCTGTGTAAACCACAAGTAGGAAGACGTTTCACTTGAGCAGTGGTGATGGAGAAGAGTAGCTGTGAGTTTTCACATCTTTTAAAGAAGTAGGACTGGTGTGGATTCAGAATTTGAGGCTCTCTGATTGTGATGTTTAGCTTTGCCAGTTAGGTAGAATTGATTTAAACACTGATAGCAGTTTAGGCAATATAGATAACCAAATTATAAATCGGGTTATGATGGTGAGAATAGGTGTTTTCCAGTTGTTTCTCTTTTTTAATGCCACACCACTTTTTCCTCTTCTTGTAAGGAAATTTCCAGGATAATGGCACAGATCTGACAGGCTCATACATTTTATACATGCATACATATATATTAGTATGACATACAAATTAAGTGCCACAGTCAGTGGGAAATAAATTTCAAGGGACTGAATACTTAATTTATTTTAATTTGTGATCATGATAGTGCCATTTTGGATGTCTCCTCACCATTGCTGACCTGCCCTGTACTACTGAGTGTAGTATATAATTTTGGAATGATGCAATTATCTTAAATCGGGACTCATCAAGATAGAAAAAGATATTTCTATTAAGAGTAGAAGTTGATTATATAAACTCAAACAACAGTTAACAGGGCAAAATTATTCTCTAATGCTAGGATTTGTGAGATAGACAACAATCAGAGATAAAAGTGCTGCATAGGAGAATGTACTATGCTGATACACTCAGGGCAGAAAAACGGGGACCTAGAATCAAGGATTGCTCAGTTTACACCCTTGAGAGTGGAAACAATATATGTATTTGTAGCAGTCCAGAGATCTTTTGTTTTTGTTTTTGTTTTTGTTTTGTTGACACCTATTATGTGAGGAATTCATAGGGGAAGCTTCTATCAGCTTAGGGCCCTCCCCACTGGTTCTCACAAAGTGGACTTTTCTGGGCCAGCCAGGCTGGTATTTCAGATCAGCCCAGGTACTTTTCTTTTTGGCTTCCTATTTTCCAGGTTATTTTTATTTGCAAATTTCGGGGTCCTGTTTTGGCTCTTCAGCTACTTGGTAGGCTCAGTATATACATTACTTCTCTTGCGGAAATTTTGCCTTTAACTTGTTTGCTTATAAGAATGCCAACAGCGTGCTGGGTAACACAGTAAACCCTTACAGTTTGTCACGGTAATGTTTGTAGGGTTTCTGCTTTTACACAATATTCATTCCCTTTATGTCTTTAAGATTGTCTTCCTTATAGTTTCAGAAGTATGAAGCCAGAAGGACAGCCACATGTTTTCTAAAAGGTGCTAGAGAACATACGTTGCTTTTTTTTCTCTTTTCCTTTGTGTTCATCTTTTTGGAAAATATGGGCAGATAGTGGTTTCAGTAGAGTGCACTCTACTTTTTGTTAAAATGTGTATAAAATTAGAGCATTTTGCCTAATATTGGAATATATGATTTATCAATAAATCACAAATCAAAGGTAAACACAGAGTATGCAAAAGTCCACTGTGATCCTTGAAA